CATTAGAGCACCAGCCAATTTCCCAGCTCCCCTAGTCTTGCACCCCTGCTGCAGTAGAAACCCAGAATTATACAACCTTGTATGGCACAGAGATCAGAACTGTACAAGTTCATTAATATGGTTTGCTCATCCCCCCCTTGACCTCGATGTGGGGAAGATATGCAACAGCCTTTGTTTATCAAGCTGAGATTTTCCCAGACACTTCACAACATCTTTCAGTAACACATATATTGCAACATTTTATAACTTCACACACAATGATCATGTTAGAGACGGAAAGAAGGAGCAGGACGACCCAGAGGCGGATTGAGTCAACGGACTCCTTTATTGCAGTACTTGTTCCCCTCCACCCAATTGTTGAGTGAGCATCAGATTAATCACATCACACTCTTTTATCTAAGTTAATATGTAAATACACACATTGGCTACAACACTCCAAACCCTTGTTTAGTAATATGAACGCCCATATAATGAATAGTAATAGCCTTATCAGAAATATAATTATACCCTCCCCTCTTTACTGTTTACAGCATTAAACATGTTGTGCAGGTGCTTTTACCTTAAACACGTTTCTTTACAACAATTGTAACTACAATTTCTTTTAATCAGCAATTTACGGCGGGGGGGAGGAGCCATGACCCTGAACACATTTATGTAGCTGGGACACTTCTCTATCCTGAACAAGTAAAAAGGGGAAGGGTGGGTAACAAACTTTATGCATCAAGCCAGGGATATTGCTCACCTGTGCCATTCTCCCCTATTACCATAGTAACAGTTACCCAGGTCTTTACTTAACCCTTCCATGCTCCAACACTCCCCCACTCTCTTCAAAGAAGGGCCCAGGCACACCTCTTTCCCGCACACTGGCTGGCGGGGCACTCGGCCTGGAGGCTCTGGCTACAGTTAGCTCGATACGTTGGTCCACCAGTCATACTACAGGGAGATAGGAAAGGCGGGTCATTGGAATGGGTAGGCTGCAGAATTTACAAGTATGGTTTACGGGGAGAGGCTAGGGCAGCACATAACTTTAAACATTCCTTGAATACAACTAATAATACAATTAATACAAATAATACCCCTACAGCATAGGTAATCTGACTGAGAAGCGAGGAAGTGTTTATTAGGCCTGTTTGAAGGGCACAGGCTACATCAGTCCAGGTACAATCTGCAGGCGGTTTAGTTGCTAGTTGGAATGCATTCATTCCATGGAGGGCTTGGGCTTTTATGGCCTGTGTTTGGCGTTGTTGACATGTTATCCATGTGGGTTCCGGTACAGCCTTAGTCCAGTTAAGTTTCTTTATATTATAAGTTCATTGACTGTCCAGAGAGAAATGGGCTATTGTCCAAACCATCTTAACCACTTGGTATGGAATCAGGCAGTATGCACTGCTTTGATTATTTAGAGCAATAGGTTTTACAGACTCATCTGTGCACTAAAGTTTGTATAGCAAAGAGCTCCCAGCCCAAACCGATGGAAGGCATCCTGCCCGGTACAGGGCCCCAACAGTGAGAAACACTGGGGAGCTGAAACTAAGGAAAGAAGCCAGACAAAGGTCTCTGCCCTCAGGAATTTGTAGTTGAGCTTTAGGACTCAAGAGCTGTATGATGCACAGCCTTACCTGCCTGCCTCACAACTCTGCTCCCAAGCCTCAGCTATTTCTGTGTAGCTTCTGGGCTTCCCTCTATGCTCGTGAGTGGCCTGTGGGCCCTAGAGCTGGGTCCTTACTGCACTCACTGAAAGCTCCTTGCCAGGCTGTAGCAGATCCCGTCCTAGCCCCGGAGCAGAGGGAGCCCAGTTGTGAGGGATGGATGCAGACCTGATCCAGAAAGTGTAGGTGGAAGGGAATCGGAGAAGTGAGCAGGACCTTGGGGGAATCAGTGGGTCAGGGGTAAGGGACTTGGGGGAAAAGGAGAGGCAGGGGGCAGAGACTTGAGGGAATGCCAAGAGAGGGAGCAGGAGCCTTAGGCATCCACTTACCAGATATAAGAAAGGTGAAAAACCCTATGAGCTAATGAGACGTTAACAGACTGATTCCCCAGCTGACAATGCACAGTAAGGTCAGGAAAGGGTTTAGCGTTTCTCTGACTGTCTAGTCAGTGTTTCAGGGAAGAGGCCCAGCACCATGTCATCAGATAGCTCTTCAAGGACTTGCTCAGAGAGTCATAGCACCAGGAGAAAAAATTAGGCCCCTTTATGAGTAAAGAGCCGGAGCAGCCTGTCCCGGATCTGTTTGGTCCTCACCCCATAGATGATAGGGTTTAGCATGAGGGGCATCAAGAGGTACACGTTGGCAATGAGAACATGGAAATGCAGGGGCACATTCTGGTGAAACCGGAAAGTGAGAGACAAGAACAGACCTGGGATGTAAAAGACTAAGATGGCACAGAGGTGGGAGATGCAAGTCCCAAAAGTCTTGAGCCGGGCGTCCTTTGTGGGGAGGCAGAAGATGGCCCTGAGGATCTGGGTATAGGATATGACAATAAAAATCACATCCAGACCCATCACCCAGAACTGCACAAAGAGTCCGTAGTAACTACTGACACGGATGTCGGCACAGGCCAGCTTCACTACAGCTATGTGGGTGCAGTATGGCTGAGGGATGATGTTTGTTCTGCAATATGGCCACTGCTTCAACAGGAAGGGATAGGGCAATACGAGCATGCTGCCACGCAGCAGTACGGCCAGGGCGATCTTAGCCACCACAGGGTTTGTCAGTGTGGTGGCATGTCTCAGGGGATCACAGATAGCCACGTAGCGATCCAAAGCCATGGCCACTAAGATACCAGACTCTATCACTAAGAAGCAGTGAAAGACATACAGCTGAGTGAGGCAGGCACTGAAATTGATCTCCCTGGAATTGAACCAGAAGATGCTCAGCATTTTGGGCAGGATGGATGTAGACACAACCAGGTCGGTGACAGCCAGCATGCAGAGGAAATAGTACATGGGCCCATGGAGGCTCAGCTCCATCTTCACGATGAACAGGATGGTGAAGTTCCCCAAGATGGCTATGATGTACATGGTACAGAAGGGGATGGAGATCCAGGCATGGGCTGCCTCCAGGCCAGGAATGCCCATCAGGATGAAGGTGGAGGGGTTGGTGACGTCGGTTGTGTTGGAGTCTGACATGGAGGAGAGTAGAATGTGTCGAATTCTGAGGCTGAACTGTGTCTCCTGCATGTACCGTACGTTTCACTGAATTCCTGTATGTGCCCAGAGTCAAGGGAGATGGTCACAGTACAAATGCCTGGATGGAGAGACAATATTAATATAAGACACTACATGCACTACTGGAGGCTGTTCTCCTGGGTGAAGCAGATTGGTCGCTTTTCACACACTGAAAAATTACATTGTTATTATTCACAGATATTAATTATGAACAAATGACCCCACTAATGCCAATTCCATATTTTATTTTGCTCCTTGTATCAATAATGTGTTCTGATGTGGGAAACATTAATAGGCACCAGCAGGAAAAAATGAGTATGTCTCCTGGTTATCCATTATTGTTCCTTAATGCAATGAAAGCCAGGCTAGAAAGTGCATGCTGTAGGGAATTCCGCATTCACCCGGTGACTCAAAATCTGAGTGTAGTCAAAAAGCAAACCTTTGCCAAGACATGTGGCGGGAGGCACATCCCAACTAGAATAGACCTCAGGAAAAAGATCGGTGTCATTTAGCACAGTTCCCTGGAAACACCTCCTGATTTGCCGCCCCAAGCATGGCAGGCAGGCGGCTTTCGGCGGAGCGCCTGCGGGAGGTACCCGGTCCCATGGATTTGGCGGCATGCCTGCAGGAGCTCTGGCAGTGCCGCGCAATTGGCGTACCCACCGTCTAATTGCCGCCGAAGCCGTGGGACCGGCGGACCTCCCACAAGTGCGCTGCCGAAAGCCACCTGCCCGCTTCCCTCACAGCAACCGGCAGGCCGCCCCCCGTGGCTTGCCGCCCCAGACACGCATTTGCTGCGCTGGTGCCTTGAGCCACCCCTGCTGATTTGCAACAGTCGCCAAAACAAAGACAATCTTGGGATACATTAGGGATGGGATGGAGAATAACGTGCTCTGAACATGCTCTCAGTTTTCGTCACCCAGTGTCCATAAAGGATACAGCTGATATAAAAGGGATTTCTGAGACATGCTATCACAATGGGGTAGCCTGTGCTTTGTGTAGAGAATGAGAAATCAAGAACTGGTTAGTTTAGAGGAGAGCGAAAGAAGGGAGATATGATGGAGGAGAGGATAATAAAAAATTGAAATTTTTACACTGAAATGGACAAAGAGAGAAAGTTCCCTACTGGTAATATCTATAGACACTTTGTGCTTCAAAGGGGCTAAGTCCAGAAAACTGAGGCAAATTATCATCAGAATTGATTGGGAGGAAAAATTTAGACAGAAAAATGTGAATGAAAATTGGGAGTTGTTTAAGAAGAATTTATTAGATAGAAGGCAGAAACTGGGTGGGGTAGTAATATATTATAAAATGGGAAAAGGGAAAATAGAAAGGAAATAATACAAATATGAAGTTATGAATCTGTAATAGGTAAAGCAATCAGAGAACAGCCACCAAGAGGGACTTTATAGCTGGCTGGGTGTCCATAAAAGGAATGCTCCCCTCCCCCTTCATTTATTACAGATATATAAACAGGGGGTTGGTGAGTTGGAGCAGGGGAAGGATTTTACCTCTGCACATGGCATTGGTGAAAACTGACTGTCCAGACCGGGGTTCATATGTATAAAAGGATGTTGAAAAATTGGAAAAGGTGCAGGAAAGAGCCACATAAATGATTTGAAGGTGCAGAAAATGCTGGAGAGTGAGAGACTTAAGGAGCTTCATCTATTTATCTTAAATAGTAATAATCGGCTCTGTAATCTAGAGGAGAAAGGCAGTGCAAGACCCAATGGCTAAAAGCTGAAGTCAGACAGATTCCAGCCAGGAATTAGGGCCAAAGGTTTAGCACTGAACGTGATTAGCCATTGGAATAAACCGCGAAGGGAAGTGGTGGATTTCCACCTCCCCATGCCTGCAGATCCAGACTGGATGCTTTTCTGGGAGATCTGCTTGAGGACTTGTCTACACTTGAATTGCTACAGTGGTGCTGCCATAACGCTTCAGTTGTAGACACTACTTACACCAACGGCAGGGGATCTCCCATCAGCATAGGTAATCCACCTCCCTGAGATGTGATAGCAAGGTTAATGGAAGAATTTGTCCATCGACCTCATGCTGTCCACATGGGGGTTAGGTTGATATAGCTACATCTCTCAGGGGGTTGGATTTTCCTTTCTCTTTTCGAAAAGGCAAATGCAATTCTAGGTTGTATTAGCGGAGGCATAGCATGCAGGTCTCAATAAGTGATTGTACTGCTCTATTCAGCTCTGCTTATGCCTCAGTTGGAGAACTGTATCCAATTTTGGATACTGCTCTATAGAAAGGATGTAGAGAATCTGTAAATGGTCCAGAGGCTATTGAGAAAGATGTTCCAAGGGATGGAATGCAAGCCATATGAACAAGCTGAAGTAACCGGGAGTGCTTAGTTTGGAAAAGGGGAGATTGTGGAGGATACAATGCTGGTCTTTAAATACTTCAAAAGTTGCCATAAGAAAGACTGAGGAAAGCTGTTGTCTCTTGCTGCATGGTGCAGGAGAAGAAGCAATGGTTTCATATCTCAGGAAAATCTTCCTAATTGAAAGAACAGGAGGACAATGAAACAGACGACTCTGGAGGTTATGGAACCTTCTTTAATAGAAATTTTGCAGACGAGGGTGGATAGCCATCTGTCTGGGATGGTTTAGACTCAACACATCCTGCATCTTAGCATGGGGTCAGACTTGCTAACCATTGCATTTCCTTCTCACTCTAGCTCTATATTTCTACAATGTAAAATCCTACTGTGGACCAGATCTTAGTCAAACACAAATGATGGAGTTCAATACAGGGACAACGGGGTGAAATGTAATGGCCTGTATTATAGGAGGATGATCTAATTGTCCCTTCTCACCTTAAACCCCATGAATCTATCAATAAACAAAAGACGGTAGATCAGGTATTTATATTTACTGCGTCTCACAACCCACAACCAAGGGAAATTCCAATTACAAATTCAATTATTACATGTAATACTGATAAAAGATTTTTTTTTATATTATACCTATTTGGACTGTGGAACTCCTTGCATAAGACATAATTGGAGCCAAGAGCTGAATAGGATTCAAAAATGGATTGGCCAGCATAGGTGCTGCTGGTGGCATCACCTTTAGTTGAGGCTGTCTGACACCTTCAATTAGGAGACCTCCTTTTCAGTTGCTTATAAATTTGACAAATGAGTTTAAAAAAAAATTTCCCACACTGGGTGTCTGCTTCTGGGTGAATTGTTTCTGAAAGTTTGACTCTTAACATTTCAACTGTCTAGTCAAATGAAGCTAGGAGAGAAGATGTTTTGTCCATGTTGAAAAATTCTTAGAACGGTTACAGTGAGGAGCCCTAATACCTCCATTCTTTCCAGTAGATTAAAGTCAGGTAGCAGCTTCCCCTGCACCTGTGAGACATGCCAGGATGCCTGGGTTCTGCTGGGAGGGGGTAGGGTCCATGGGAGGGGCTGGGAGCCAGGACACCTGGGTTCTGCTGGGAGGGGAGTGTGGTCCATGGTAGGGCCTGGGAGCCAGGACACCTGGTTTCTGCTTGAAGGAGATTGGGGTCCATGGGACGGTCTTGTAGACATGGCACCTGGGTTCTGCTGGGAAAGGAGTAGGTTCTGGGGGCTTGGAGCAGGGAGGGGCTGGGAGCAAGGATGCCTGGATTCTTCTAGGAGGGGAATGGGGTCTGTGGAATGGACAGAGAGCCTGGACACCTGGGTTCTGCTGGGTTGGAAGTGGGGTCCGTAGGAGGGGCTGGGAGCCAGTCACTCAAAACTGGGTTACTTGACAACCAAATGGCAGATGAGATTGAATGTTGATAAATGCAACATAATGCAAATTGGAAAGCAGAATCCCAACTATCCATATAAAATGATGGAGTCTAAATTAACTATTAGCACTTAGGAAAGAGGTCTTGGAGTCATTGTGGATAGTTCTCTGGAAACATCGGAACAGCAGACAAAAAAGTGAACAGAATGCTGAAAATAATTAAGAAAGGAATAGAGAATAGGACAGAAAATATGACATTGCCTCTATATAAATCCATGGTACGCCCAAACCTTGAATACTGTGTGCGCATGTTGATGCCCCATCTCAAGTTATACTGGAATTGGAAAAGGCTCTGAAAAGGGCAACAGAATTATTAGGGTATGGAATGGCTTCCGTATGAGGAGAGATTAGTAAAACTGGAACTTCTCAGCTTGAAAAAGAGAAGACTAAGGGGAGATATGATTGAGATCTATAAAATCATGACTGCTGTACAGAAAGTAGATAAGGAAGTGTTGTTTACTATGTCTCATTACACAAGAACTAGGGGTCACAAAATGAAATGAATAGGCAGCAGGTTTAAAACAAATAAAAGGAAGCATCACTTGATGGATCACTTGTTCTGTTCATCCCCTCTGGGGAACCTGGAACTAGCCACTGTCTGAAGACAGATACTGGGCTAGATGGACCTGTGGTCTAACCCAGTATCATAGAATCATAGAATATCAGGGTTGGAAGAGACCACACTTCTTTAACTTGCCGGCATGGCCATTCTTATGTTCTGATGTTAATGGCCAGAGCCCTGAAATGCCAGAGGAGGAAGTGACAGTCTCTGTGCACTAACACACACCTGGCTCCTGAGGTCTTTACTCAGTTCTTACTCCAAAGGGAGTTTTGCCTTAGCAGGGCCTGAGCAAAGTATGTGCCACAGCCTAAGAATTTGGCCTTGTATAGTACATCTACTAACAGCTTTCATCCTGAAGGATCCCCTGTGCCACCGAAATGCAGCCACCTCCGGGCTGGGGGCAATCAGCCAGGGCAAGTGGGGGTGCACAAAAAAGAATGACATTTTGACCCATCATACTGGAGGAAACACATCCACTGTGGCAAGGGCTCTGGGATATTTAATGGTTGTGCAGTACGAAAAGGACAATAGACTTACTCTCTATCCCATCAAACCCATGTTGCTCTAGATTTGTTGAGTAGGTGAACTCCTCAGTAACAGATGGG